ATAAAGATTCAGAAATCAGATAGAATGATAGCGGTCTTTGTCACAGAGAGCAAATAATTTTATACGACACAGGAATGCATATACATATGTAGCAACAAGTACGAGCTCATGTTCCTTGTTATGTTGTCATGGAAAAAATATATTTAACCGGAACAAACTTGATGCCGACGATATGTGTCATTTTTGAACATATATCATTGCTTACTATTAACCAATAAAAATATTGTATACAGTTTTTATTTTTATAGAATATTCACATTAAAGTTATTGCACTTTGCAATAACTTTAATATTGAGCAACCTTATCAACCACAGTGTAAGATATAGACTTAACAGACTGGTATACATTTTTTTCATGAACGTATATACTCTGTGTAATCGATTCATAATATTGTAGACCATTTATAACGTATTCTAACCAACCCTTGAAATAAGTTCCTGTAATTTTGGACCGACGAGACGTAACTCTAACACGACAAAATACATCAATGTTTTTTAAGTTTGTGAAATGCTTTTGATGCTTTGGTTGATGTGTTTGGTTTTAAAAGTTAAAACCTAAGCATTGTTGAAACGTTTTTGAAAGTTTATTTCATTCGACAGCTAAAATAAAACCAATAAAACGCTTGGGTGCTGCTATCTATCTCGCAATGATCTCTGTTTTTGAGTAACACTAAACAGAGTATAATAATATAGATGGAATGAGTTTTTCGCCCATTCGTACCCTGCGTAGAACAACATGACATCTGCAAAATTGTAATTGTTCAGGTCGGCCGATTCAAATTATAATTTTTTTATATTGGTCATAATTTTCTTATACATAGCAGTTGCTATTACAATGAGGTTTGTAATATGATTAGGTATATAAACAAACACTATACTTTTTTAATAAATAATTATATAAATTTAGGAAATAAGAGGTTTCAAGTGTAATAGTGACATTTTCCTGCGGATAATGGCATTACTAATGGGTCACAAGATCACATATACACGTTTATATAACGTTGTTCAACGGAACATTCCAAAAAATAATAGGTCACACGTTCATTTATAACGTTGTTCTACTAAAAACTCAGAAAACATGTATGACATAAAAGCATGTAGCACTGTTTTCAACGAAATATCCATAAAAAAGTGGGTGACTGTGCAATAATTATCAATTGACTCTAATAGAGTATATTACACTGGTCTATTACATTAGTAAGGTTAGTCTAGTCAGTACAAAAAACAGTGTAACGTACATACGTCCTTGTACTACGGAGCACAAATCAGATAGAACGTTGTTCTATTCTGAATCTCAATATTTATAAGTTAGAAGAAAAAAATTAAAATGTTATCTGAAAGCGTAGAAAATAATTAAGAATATCCGACGATAAAATCAAGTTCGTTCTATGTGACCACAGAACGTTATTCTACAGACGGTGCGAATTCATAATGAAAAAATTCAGACAAAAAGACCAAGGTGCCCCATAATCGTTACGTATATAGCTATGATTTTTTCTTTATAAGACATACTACTCATAAACTAAACATCTTTGGATATACTCGTAATTATAGTGTTTCCAGATGATAGAAATGTCCTAAAAGTACTTAGTAAGCCCCAGAATATCCACACAAATCAAACATGTCAGGAATTGCTTTTGTGATAAGTCTAGCACCAGTTTTATGTATTACTAAGACGCAACGTTCTTCCTTTCCTAAAATTTATTGATCTCCCGATGTTTTTAGCTCTTGAGTTTTCTCAAAAAGTACGCGATGTAACTTAGTTTGAATTCAAATTTCACATTCTGAAAAAGATTCAGAGGCATCATATCTTATTAAATCATCAATCAAACGTCCGTTCTTTTGAGTTATTTTAATAACTACTCATATGACCGAACTTTTTATGTCACTCGCTAATGCTTAATTTTTTGTCTTTGTAAAATAATTACTTTCAGTTTTGCCCTTAGCAAGATTATTTCATTTTTACGGTTCCGTACCTTAAAAGGAACCCTTGTAAGATCACTCTTTTGTCCGTCTGTCGATCCGTGTCACCACCGATTATCTCAGGAACGGGTAGACCTAGCAAGTTCAAATTTATACCAGATGCTACTTCCTTTGCTTTTAACCAAAATTTACAATTCTAGGTCAACCGGAAGTACCCTAATAGATTATGGGTCGTAAACCTGTATGGTAGTTCCTGTTGACATAAAATCATGACTTTTAGCAAAAAGCAAGGTCTTACAGCACACATAAAAGAAAAATTCCGACAAATAAAAAAGTTGAAAATTAGGGTAAATTTTGGTACCAGCAAGTTTGTTGTACCTAAATTTGCCTATGTCTTTTTATCGCGTTGATTTTTATATAACTAATAGGGACTACAGACCTCAGTATCTGGTATAAATTTCAACTTGCTAGGTCGACCCGTTCCTGAGAAAATTGGAGGTGGTCTTCTGTGAGGTCGTGGTACTTACCCGGACGGACCTGCGCATTCGTACAACAGTGTTGCGTGGCCCTACCACCGTAAAAATTGTTCTATTTTCTCAAATGCTTAAAAACTCTCCTCAGTTTCTACAGCGCAAGATTGATGCACGATATTTGTCTGAGTTTCTCAATCCATTGACCCCTAGGCCACGCGCCAAAACAAAAGACGCCCAAAGAGCCTTACGTAGTGCGAGGTCGTTGACACTTTAAGGCATAAGATATAATAATATATAATATAGTATACATACACAGAGATATAATAAAATCATTACGTTTTAATTTAATTGTACTCGAATTACGATAATGTATATGTATTATGTATATAACAGTCCTATCGTTTGATAAGCGAAGTTAACATTGATACTTGTTTAGCATAACAAAAGAACAATAACTAAATATTTTATCCCTTTTGCTAATACTTTTGTTGTTTGTGAAAAAGTGATTGAATTCAATTGATAACGGTTTAATTAAATAACTTGAAATAATAAGGAAAATTTTAAAAAGTTGTTGTTCGTTGCCATGCATTTATGTAACTAGTTGCAACCAACTTCTTCACATCAATTTTTGGCTGTCGGTATGGGCGCATCGTAAAAATTTTACTTTCATAATTTTTTTCCAAACGCTCCAAGAAGAATAACTTCAAAAAATAGCCCTTTATCATATGAGTATAAAGGACGTTTTATCCTCTCAACAGCTTGCTTACAGATTAGTTAATTTCATTACTACATTAAATTGTTTTAACATTAATACATCGTATGTCACAAAAGTAAAGTAACAGCTCATATACGAGTATGTCCCACTGCTGGGCAAAGGCCTCTGCACAGAGTATCAGGGCATAGTCCACCACGCGACCCCACTGCGGATTGGCGGACTTCACATATCTTGGAAACAATTTTTTTTGTTATTATTGCACCGCTGAGCACGTGATGAATCAGCACTTAATGTCAATAATTTCATAGGTGCCGGCACCGGGGATTGAACTCAGGTTGCTTCAGTAAATTTAATTAAAAGCGAGCGCCCGGACAATGAGCTATCACAGCTTACATAATTATATCGCAATACCACAAAAATAGCTTTTGCATACACATAATTTCTCGAATCTGGGATTTCAACAAAACTTTTGCTTACTCGTTCGCTCGGTCACTAGGATTAAACAACTGTCCGCGACTGCTATTAAATTTTTTCATTTTTTATTCAGATGACATTTTTTGAGTGACGTTAGTTTAAATGACTTAAAAGAAAATGAAGAGAGACATCATGTCTCCAAATACAAATAATTGATATAATGTAAATAATAAAATCATTTTGGCAATGACATCAGCAACTACACTAGTAGGTACTGTGGAGGATGAAATTATCGATGAGTTCGAACAAATAAATATTTTCTTTGGTTCAAAAGTAAACATTTTATTCAAGGCAATTCTCGCCGTTACGAATTGAATCGATTTTCCTGTTGTCAACGCTTACACTATTTAACAAATTTAACGTATTTCAAAATAAATATTTACGTAAAGAGTGAGTAAAGTAAAAGTATTACCCTAAAAACATTTTTCTTTTAATATTTTCTACATCATATTAAAGCTGTGTTATTTTAATTTAATTTGCGTGAAATTGCTCATACACGCACTTGCGGAGGCAAGCTTGGCTATGGTGGATTCTAACCGAATAAAAGCTCCGACATGTTTCATATGGGCCCATATAGCCTTCCCTCCAGGCAAACAAAACGCAACTCTACTCGACCCTTTTAAGGCAGTGCATACCCCCGACCAGCTACAGATCTGGTCTCTGCCTCCACCGCTTACCACATTTAGCCCGTGGGATGTATGGAGATCGGCATGTTCGTGACTGAATCATTATACCGGAGCTTCACTATCCTCGCGTCCCTACCGCTGCTACCTCAGGAAAGCATATCCACCGTTTCGCGAATAACAGGGAGTAACAATACTTAATACAACGCTTCTATTCCCTCGACTCCACCTTAGTTGCATAGGACAAGGTGACTTCTCTCCACTACCCTAAACCTGTCCCCCGCACCCTCCATGCTCGCATTGAAAGCGGTCTCAGTGAGCATACTCAGATCAGAACCCGCAGTCCCCTTACAACATAAGATTACCAAGCGTGAGTTCCTCTTAGCTCTAACAAGGGGAGCTAAGCTACGATTATAACTAGATTGCCCGCTATGGTGCCGCCGCATGTGACATTTTTTTGTATTATATAAGAAAATAATTTATGATTCAACTTTATTTTCCCCAAAAGCGACACACTCGATAATGGTTATATATTTTTAGTATTACATTCTTAAGTTCTACGATTAGATAGACGAGTATATTTTAAACTATAACAGCGGATAAATGATTGTTTATGCGCGTCAATTTTTTTTGCGACACTATATTAACTAATCATTATTATTAATAAACATTTAATGGACTTTAACACACTTCGGCGCTAAGTTCCTTTAAGTCCTGCCCGTGACCATGAATGCTATAAAGTATAAAGTATTTGCGATGTCGGGAATTGTAATCGGTTGTCTTTAGTGTTCTAGGCAAAGCTTGATCCGTCGCCATTTTCTAAATTCTCCCGCTTTTCCTGATAATTCCTTACGGGTTGGATGAAGGACATAAGGACGCCAGAAACAATTATCCAACCACCGGCGAGATAGAACGCTAACTCCCAGGAGAATGTCAAATCGTAGATGAGACCTGAAAACGCAAATGAAGTCTGACATTAATTTTCTTTCACTTTGATTTTAACAATGTAAGTTTAATATGGTACGGTTTGATGACTCCGCTGCGCATTTGCCAAAGTATTGGCTTCGGCGTCGGGGGTCGTGGGTTCGATTCCCACACGGGACAACTCTTTGTGCGACCCACGGATAGTTGTTTCGCATCTAGGTGTTTGTCCGCGTGAAATTTATGTTTGTAAAAACGACCTTACAACACAGGGTAATGTTATCATAAATTAAGGGCAACGTTTTTTGAAAAATACATAAATAAAAACAAACATCGGTTACGTTGGCCTCAAAAGGGACACAAATGACGCCCACAAAATTAAGTAAAGAAGGCGTACAAATTGACATATAGCACCTGACATTTTACAAGTAAGTACTATATCTACTTATTTCCATAGTACTATATCTATTTACAAATAAATAGATATTGTACTATTTCTATAGTACTATATCTATTTATTTCCGCCTACACGCCGAACTTTAACGGCGTGTCACATTTTTGTTTCAACATAATAATTATATTTTAGCCACTTTACAAAAAATACTTTATGAATTATATGTCTAAACCTTCTTCATGAATCACTTTTTACACGTTCAAACAGATAGACAGTAGGTATAGACGAAGACACTTTTTATAATATTCTACAGTGATAATGTGAGCAATTTGCCCTTCGGTATACTATAAAAAAGTAAAGTAACAGCCACAACTGGGCAAAGGCCTCCTCTGTAAAGACCCATCAGGGCATAGTCCGCCACGTGAGCCCACTGCGGAACGGCGGCCTTCAAATTTTTTTATTATTATTTCGGAAATTTTCGAAATAATAATAAAAAAAAGGTTTCCTTACGACTTATTTTACAAACAATTTCATTGGTGCTGGCACCGGGGATCCAACGCATGTTGCTGGAGTAAATGTAATTGAAGGTGAGGGCCCAGACACTGAGCTATTACGGCTCACGATATACAACAAATCGAAAATTATTTTAGGAACGTCCCTTATAATGATGGTTGATTGATGAACACAACAAGTGGTTTAAATATCAATATTTTTAAATACAAGTTGGTAAGAGACCAACACTGCATGGTAAGTGATTTCCGCGGACCTTGAATTATAAATAACTGATAATCATTCGATCTGAGCGGCTGAGTGGCTATACCGCTGGAAATTTATTTCTAAACCGACTTCAACGAAGTAACGGATTTCAAAACATTAAACAATTAAATGTTCCTCTTACCAGATAAAGGAGGTCCAATTAAATGTCCAATGCCCTGTGCTAGCAACACCAGTCCGTAGGCGGAAGTAAAATCGTCTAAGGACACCAATTTCACCAGCAGGCTTGGTGTAAAAGTGAACGATGCGGCGAAAAGTAAGCCAAAAGCTGATGTAATCAATGCTAAGGCCCAATAATTAGCAGCTGCAGATGGTATGGCCGCAACCGACGCACCACATAGAACCAGACAGATTGCGTACAAGTTTCCAATGGAGACTTTAGGGAAATCCCCAATCCAACCAAGACCGACCTGCAATAAAAAACATTTTATCTTTACGTCCCTAATAAACTAAAGTATAGCATGATTATAATATCCATGCAGTTATCTCCAAAAGTTACAAATAATGAATACGTAAATAGTGCGCAAAAAAACCGCGAAACTATTGAAATCCGGCCTAAAAAGTGCTTAGTCCGTCACTGTATATAATGATTGTATATATGTACTAGCTGCTGCCCGCGACTACGTCTGCGTAGAGGGGTGAAAATTTAGGGTTGTATGTATTTTTGTATGCTGTATCATAAAAATATAGAAACAAAAAAAATTATACAAAAAGTAAAAAAAAATTTTTAAGGGGCGGACCACCCTTAACATTAAGGGGGATGAAAAATAGATAGTAGCCGATTCTCAGACCTACTGAATACGCATATAAAATTTGTTAAAAATCGGTCAAGCCGTTTCGGAGGAGTTCACGTTCGAACCCCGTGACACGAGAATTTTATATATTACATTAAAAAAAATTATTAGGGGTGGACCACCCTTAACATTAAGGGGGATGAAAAATAGATAGTAGCCGATTCTCAGACCTACTGAATACGCATATAAAATTTGTTAAAAATCGGTCGAGCCGTTTCGAAGGAGTTCAAGTTCGAACCCCGTGACACGAGAATTTTATATATTAGATATTACGATATAGCGTAAATGATTCTCGCCTATCAGGTTTATTTGGATACAAAATAGTTTACTCTGTTAAGATCAAACACATTAGAGGTTGTATTAAATTGTACAAATTTGAAAACCAACCGTTATGTTGATGAGGCAAGAAGTCTAATATCATATAACTTTAGCGATATCCGAGGACATTATAAATTATTTCGCTTTCCACATTTAGATATTCATCGGCATTCAACAAGAATTTGGCACAAACGCGAGCTCTGTCACCTTGTAATTGTGAATTCTCTATTTCTGGCAACTACGAAATTATCGGTATATATTTTTGCGAATTTCCGTTAAATAACATTAAAGAAGAGTTTGATATGTTAAAGAAGATCGTTAAACAACTTCAAGAGACGATTTAAGAACGACCTAATAAGGCGATGTGTAAGCTAAGTATTATGAGGCTACATGTTTTACAATTAATTGCAAGATGATAGTAAAGCAAAGTAACAACCTATATATGTCCCGCTGCTGGGCTTAGGTCTCCTCTGTACAGTGAGTATTAGAGCATAGCCCACCTTTTACATATCTTTGAAATATTATTTTTATTTTTATTATTATTATTATTATTTTATTATTATTATTATTATTTTATTTGTTATTATTTCGAAAATAAGTAGGTGTCCTCACGATGTATTCAATAAGTTAGCACATAAAATTGACAATTTCATTGGTGCCGGCACCGGAGATCGAACTCAGGTTGCTCGAGTATCTGACTTAAAAGTGAGCGTCCGGACAATAAGCTATAACGGCTTAAGATGATAAAATTGTATAAGTGTTTCTCTTTATACATAAGTCAGCTCCGTTAAAAAGGAGCCTATGCCAAATTTCACAGAAATTGAAACGTGTAACGAATTGTTCCTGATATGAAATACTTATTATTATTTCATCTTGGCGTTTAAGTTATTTATAGTGCTAATCTGATCTTAAGATCTGCACTTAAGATTGAACATTAAAATTTGTAGAAAAAGTACGAAAAGATTGTCGCCGCTGTGGGTATCGAACCCACGTCTTCGGCATTCGTGGCCTGACGCTCGAGCCACTGAGCTAAACGGCTGATTGCCACACCGGCGAAAATCTTAACGTCTTTTATCTACATTGTTTTTTAGTATTTGAAGCAATGCTTGGCGCATGAAATGATGCAAGCATACAAAAAATTTCGAATATCGTTTTACAACGATAATTCAAACGAGAGATATCGCCATTGCTTCTTAGAAATTTAAATTATTTATAGTGCTAATCTCTGCACTTAAGATTGAACATTTAAATTTGTAGAAAAGGTACGAAAAGATTGTCGCCGCTGTGGGAATCGAACCCATGCCTTCCGCTGGAAAGGATATAACAATGGATGCGCCAAGCATTGCTTCAAATGCTAAAAAACAATGTTATCTACATAAGTCGTTAAGATTTTCGCCGGTGTGGCAATCGGCCGTTTAGCTCAGTGGCTAGAGCGTCAAGCCGCGAATGCCAAAGACGTCTTCGGCACTTCTTCCCACAGCGGCGACAATATTTTCGTACTTTTTCTACAAATTTTAATCATCTTGGCGTTGCTTTTCTTCTTTCATTCTTTTCTTCTACAAGCAACAATAGAAATCAGTTAAAATATTCAAAGCATATTCAATAGAACATAAATATAAATCTGCTTTCTGGCTTTTAACGTCCATAATGGTACATATAAAACTTAGGTCATTTATAGGAGTTGACACGAACCATTCCAATCGTGTTAGTGATGCCAATCAGGCTCAACATAACAGCGCCATCGTCCTCTGTATAGCCTCTGTGGATCATGTGCTCCGCCAAATAGAAATATGGAACGATGAACCAGACGAACAGAATCAAAGTGCCCAGGCACATAAGGTTGAAGGTCATCTTCTTGAACAATGAAACATTGAACATATCCGCGAAACAACTCAAACAGCCGTTGTACCATTTCTGCAAAATTGTTAAAGTTCTTTTTTCACCACTAAAAAGTAATCGCTCCGTAAAGGATAGACTGCAACTACATGGCATCTGCGGGAACCTTTTTTTATATTTCGTCTTCGGTCATTCTAGTTAATCTATTATTAAAAAAAAAGAACTTGGAAACAAGTTAAACTTTACCCAATAATTTAATATACGCTATTATGCAATATATCGCAACCTATTTAAAGTTATGATTACCAAGTTTGTTAAAATTATTATTACGATGATTATGGTATTCTTAAAAAATAATATAAAAATAATATTTTTTTGTTTTAAAATCTGAAATTTTGAATTTTTTTTATAGCTGTCTCATTAATTTTATTTCGCTTCCTTTAATAATTTTTTACTTACCTCTTCCTTCTCGTTTATCGTGATCATAGAATTTTTAAATATATCCGGGCAAGACGACGCTTTCAGGCGATATATCTTTATGTTCAACATGGCGTTTCTATGGCTTATTGAATTCAGAGGCATTTTCAAGTCTTTTAAGTAATGATGGTTCACCGACAACTGTTTCTTGAACCATTCTCGACGGTTCTCCTTACTGTCTTGTTTTACAATTTTATCAGTGCTTTTTATTTCGGAATTCAGTAATTTCAACGTTTCGTTCTGATCGGCATTCTTTAGTTGATATCTTTTAGAAGGTTTTACTTTTCGATAGCTGTACTTTTCCGAATGAGTACGTTTAAGAAAATGATCTGTATAAGCCACTGCCGGTGGATCGTAAGTTTCCTTAAACTCGATAGTCTTCTTCGTCTTCTCATCCCTTTTGTTTGCAAAAGTCGGATACTTAATCTCACCATTATTTTGAGTGCCAGCATGAATAATTCTTTCTAAGGTCTTCAAAGATACCTGAAATATAAAACTTTAAATTTTTTATATATTACGATGTACTAAAATAGTAATTTCTTACTTTTTATCTGTTGCTTATACTAAATTCTGACATAACACTATTTAACGCCTACTTTGGTTTCTTACCAACGTTTCATAACATGACATCCTCATTCTATCCCATATCCATGAACTTTGTATAAATAACCTAAGTTAGATACTATAAAATTTTTAACATAGTTTTGTTTAACATTATGTTATTACGTGTTAAATATTGTACATTTTACCAATAACAACGTAATAATTTCTAATGACAGTAAATAAAACAACTTCTTACTTATACTACTTAATCGCAACTAATAAAAACTTCTCGTACCTTGTCATCGTACGTAAGGTATGTTGGCAGATTTTCCACAGATTTTGAAACCTGAATATTGTTCCTTGTATATGACAAAATGTTTTCATGTCTTTTAATAGCTGCAGCCTCGTCATTTATTACTTTCTCTGGAGAAACACCTTTGAGAATCAAACGTTTCATACCTATACCCCTAGTAGGTGCATCAAAATCAAATATATATGGACTAGCAATGGAAGTTGAGCTAGAATTTTTTGATTTAGTCTCTTCTGTGGCATTTTTTGATTTTTCTTCATTTCGCTGCCTCTTCTGTTCAAGAATCCACCATTCTGGATCTCTCATGACACAGCCGCAAACGCACAAATTTAGAAGGGTACCCGAAAGTAAAAGGATAGTTCCTCTCCATCCGTATTCTTCGATGAAATATTGAGTCATTGGTGCATAGACAAAAGTTCCAACACCCGTGCCACAAGCACCTAAGCCAACAGCAAGATTCCTTTTCTTCTCAAACCAATAAGCTATAGAAACCACAGCGGTAACGTAAACTAATCCGAGACCTAGTCCAGCAATAACTCCAAAAGTTATCATCATCATTTCGATTGTTTTTGATATTGAGGCTAAAGCAAACCCGATGGCTGATACTACACCGCCCAATATTGTCATACTACGACATCCATATCTGTCGACTAAAGCACTCATTACAGGTCCTGATAGGAGTGGTACAGCGATAAAAAGGCTGCCTATCCAGGCCGTCATCGATTTGCTGGTTTTGAATTCATCGAGGAATTCTATGTAAAGGAGGCCGAATGAAAAACTTATTCCATCCGCGATCATCGATATTACGAACGACGACAGAACTACAACCCATCCCCAACCACCATCTGGTATAGTCTTATTATCAACACTTTTTAAGTTTACTTTATCCTGAACTTTATTACCCGAATCAGCAGGGTTAATGGTTATTTTAATTAGTTTATCGTTTGACGACTTACTATCACCAACGCGGTTTCCAATACATTTGAAGCTTTTACGAGAATTACTATTTTCATGAAAGATTTTACTTTTGCCGAATGTGAGCAGACCCTCTCGCTTGCTGATTACTATATCGACGCTCGAAAAAGACGTGGTGTCAACGCTAGTGGATTCACCGTCATCTCCTTTACATATTCCTGATGTTGAATCGGATAAAAGTGTCTCTCTCACATCACTAGCCGGCCTTAAGTCGCGTGGCGTTCTATTGTTTTTTAAAAATAAAATTGATTCATTGCAGTCTTTTTCCATGGCTATTCAAACCTATTATTGATTAAAAATAATACTGGCAGTGGTACGTCGGATACAACTTCTCAATTTAACGTCTTAATCGGGGATCTCTAGCAGAGTAGCGACTAGTTTCTCTCGCTACACTATTTAATTTCAAAGTGTTGGGCTTATTTTGATAGGATACCATTAAGTACCGCGATAGTACACCGCAATCGCCACAAGTAGTGTCACCCATACACTCGCTTGACAAGTGTTAACTTTGCACCACAATTATTTCAATTACTTCCACTTAGTTATAGCACCGTCGTCGATGCGGAGGTAGAACTTTTTATCTGTAATTAAAAATAGTAACATCATAGTAAAAGTAGAAGACTAACACCAAGTACCGCCGCCCACACGAGGGTTATTTAATAGGTTAGGTTTTAACTATCCACAACACAAACATGTCACAGATACAAAAGGACCCAGGCTCAGATCGACTATTAATGTTTTTTTTCAGATGTGACTAGCAGTTCGCTCGACGTAGTAGTTATGCAATATGTCTCTCTGCTCCTGGCTTCGATTCTCAGTATGGAAAAGTATTTGCATTACTAACAAATGTTTATACTGAATCCCAGATTCATAAATGGATTTTGTAGTCATTAAAGGCCTCAGTCATACAAATTAAAATAATTGTACGGTGAGGGAAACTTTGGCTAAAATACGAATAGTAAAAATAAATTTAAGAAGTGGACTGTTTTGACCTGAGCATGAAGTTCAGTGAAACGTTTAGGACTTTCACCTTATATAACTCCCACAATAGATAATAATCCCAAGGCTTAATGAAATTTAAATTACAGCCACTTACAGTTCGGACAAATATTTATTGAGGGAATCGAATCCACATAACTGAAACAATATTAATTTTGAGGTGACCACTTAAACCATTGCTTCATCAATCATTCATGAAGTCAGTTACTGACAAAATTCCAACATTCTCTAACGGCTGGTTTCAATATTTTATCAGCGTTTTTGACATTAGCTCCATATTACTTACGCCAAAATTCTATCTCCAGTAATCAAATCTATCTGTAGATAGAATATTGAAACCAGCCGATAGTGATATTCAAACTTCAAACTGTACTTTCTTTCATCAAGGCAGTTTTACACTATAATAAGAAAAGATTGGTAAAAGGATTCGGGGATATAAAAAAATTTTAAGCGCTACATTTATGAACTTAGGTTTCATTATTCTAAATGCTTATGATTAAATGTTTCAAACGGGTAAACCGTATTACTACTGGACAATATTGAGCAAAAAGGGTGAGGAGGACTACAAAATGCGTATAACACTGAGAGATTATTTGTATACTCGTCTGTCATGTACTATTTCTAACATAACATAAAAGAAAAGTAAAGAATAGCCTATATAATGACCCTCTGGGGAAAGGCCGCCTCTGTGTAGGGGGTACCTATTTAGGACATAATCCACACGCGACCCCACTGGGGATTGGCAGACTTTATATATTTTTTTTTGTTATTACTTATAAAATATGAAGGTTGCCTCACGATGATTTTTTCACCGCTTCAATACTTAAAATTGTAATCAACAATTTCTGTGGTACCATCACCAGAAATTGAACTCGGAGTATATTGAAAAGCGAGCAACCGAACACTGAGCCATTGCTTCCCAGCTGACATTCACGATGCAGAGTTTTTTAATTACGCTATTCATGTACGTTAGTTAGGTCTGCATCTAAATAACTCGTTTATAAGTTAACTGTCGTATACAAATTTTTCCTGGCTATTTCTCATTAAATCTGGCTCTGACACCCACAGCGGTAAGAGTCGCTGAAAAAAGTGCGTTTCTGATGTACGCCAAAAACAAGCAAACAGTTTACGAGAGTCAAAGAATTTAAAGATATATCGTTTTAGTTTCTACTGATGTTTTCACGTTCTTGACGGGTAATTTAAGCTTGCTTTCTACTACAAAGTGTATGAAGAAGAAAACGGCAGTATCGCTTGAGTGCGTACCAGAACTCGAAGCGTAATATTTATTTTGTCGGGAGACCTTGAAAATAACAAGGATGACAGAATAAGTAAAATAAATAATAAGTCTACGCCCACGCAATATGGGAATTTAGTTATTTAAGCAGACGCAACGTTATCGTGTGATAAACTTATATAAAATATTTGCGTTAAAATTCTACGAAAACGGAGATATTTTGCAAAAATTACATTTCGTGTTTTGTCTACCGTCTGGTTAAATATCACTTCGGCTAAATAAGTCAAGATTAAAGTCGTACGATACTGACTGCTTATAAAACACGTCGAGGAGATAATAGAGGAAATGTTTATTTAATAATGTTTAATTAATTGTCATAACAATAATCTAGCAGCTGCTAACTGCAGCAACAAATTACTTCAACACGTTTGTATAATATATCTTACTTCTATTACTATATATCAACGGTTTCTCTTTTTTTTTTAAATGAGTTTTAATATAACGGTAGAGGTATAATAGTCTTATTATAGACAACGTGCGTATCAACAGTATTAACTATACACATTATCGTCGTCTAAATATGCAGCAATGGTATATAAATGTAATTTGTATTATGAATGAATGTAATTTTAGTTTCCCCTACTGACTAATACCTTAGCTATCATATTGGCCAATATCATAACTTTGGCGAAGTATTCTATTCGCTTAGACACGCCTTTACATCTGGTCCCATACTCTCGTCTATTCTGAGTGGAAAAAAGTGAACAAATTATATAAATGATTAGCGACCCTCCCCAGCTTCGCACGGGTGTAATATATTATACATATGTATATACATTACGGTGTTAGGGCCACGCAGCAGCCTCGGCTGTTACACGAATGGGCAGGCCCGTCCGGGTAAGTACCACGGCCCAACAGAAGACTAGCGTAAAGTGGAAGTATGACAAATACTTTCGCGTTTCGTCTGGTGAGTGAGGTAGCCAGAGCCCAATGTTCAAAAGGTTGTCGACGGATATGTAACCGTCGTATGTAGCAGATGTCCATGGGCGGTATTCACTTACCATCAGGTGAACCGTCTGCTCGTTTGAATAAAAAAAATGTGAACCTTCCTCTTGAATCACTCTATCTAGTAAAAAAACCGCATCAAGATCCGTTGTGTAGTTTCAAAGATCTAAGCATACATAGGGACAGACAGACAGCGAGACAACTTTGTTTTATACTATGTAGTGATGCACAGCAGAGTACGCGTTAATACGCGTCAGATTATTCTAAAATGGGAAGTTAAATCCATATATTTAGATAATAATATCCGTAAAGTTAGACTTTATCAAAAGTTATCATCAATATAATTTTGATATTACTTCAAAAAATAAACTCAAAAATTACTGTTGAGTCAGGCTCTAAGACAGAGTATAAGCTTTATTTTGAGAACCAATTTGTAGAGCAACGTTTACACTGCTGGTTTAACAAGGCATTACTTCTAGGGATAGTTCTCAGCGCCTGTGGGGCAAGTTTTGCGCTCTGAAATCGAAAAATTTGACAACGACAGACGTCTCGCAATGCAATTTTTTTAAAATTATTGAATTACAGCTTTTACAAAAACTGGATAGAAAAACACAAGCTGTAATTGAAAACGATCTGGGCTCTACGCGTTTCATTTACATTCCATTTGATTAAATACATTGGATACGTTACTTCGCCGCCCTTGTATTAGCTATATATATCAAATGGGATAAATCGGCACTTTAAAATTCAACATCATCATTGGCTCGACTCATCTATAATTCGGTTGGATTTGAACTGAGATTGCTCAATTGAGTTTAGTCAATTTGGAAGCGAGGTCCAGATCACTGAGGTACCTCGGTTTTAAAGGTTTTTATTCTTGTTAGCATGTTTAAAACTACTTATACAACACCACACCAAATTGATTATATTATGTACAACCGATCCGAGACTAATTGTTGTAGGAAAACACATTGTTTACAAACAAGGACTTAGTTTATCGTTGTATAACATATATTTTAATTATAAAAGTAACTTACTAGCATAGCAATAGACGGCTTAATGTAGGACCTTTCTTCTATCTTGGACGAAGAAGCAACCAAAACTGCGGGTTATTCCACAGTCTGCGACATACAGCTGGCGACTAAGGCGATCAATAGTGGCGGAAAACAGCCTGACCATGGCGTAGACCCCCCATAGCGCTGGAGTATAGCTTAAAGTAAACACTTAAAGGCTCCCTTACGGTAACACGAAGGTCAAGTTAAAATGGTGAAGAAGGGTATCCGCTACGTAATACTGACGTCACATGAAAACATTTGCTAGACGCGGCATTGGGTATAATAATCAG